TTCCTTCGGAAGGGAAGTTATGCCGTTGGTCCCGGCCCATGTGTGTTGAATGGGTGCGATATCCTACGCAGGTGTGGAAGCTGCCTTCCTGCACTTTCGATAGGCGTCAATGGATGGCAATCGATGTCCGTCGGTGATTGGCACTAGAATGCGGAACAGAGACCGACGTTAAATAAAGGAAAGAAGAAAAAGAAGAAGAAGAAGACGTATAATGCGCTACGTGCATCCGATAATCTTGATCTGCAAGAATCGATTGTGAGGCCACCATTCCCTGATATCTTCCAGTGCATTTCGGAATGATTATAGTCTCCAAACAGGAGAGCAATGTCGTGAGGCTTCATGTACGAAAGATTTAATCAATTTAGATAAGATTTAATATCAGGTGGCAGATAATGCACTTCAACGCTGATATCACAGTGTTGCAATTTGATATTGATCCAAAACTGTTCAATAGAGCACTGCTCATCAGAGCTGGATCAATACAGCTACACACTTAGAAAAATTGATGTTAATTTAGGTGCTCTGAGACTGACATATACGAGCATCAATTTTGACATAAAATTGAGTCATAACAAACGCAAAATTCAGCTCAATCAAACGTACTTTCGAACTTTTCAGTCTCGGAGCACTTAATTTTACATGACATGTTTGTTTACGTCTCATCCTTTATGTCGAAGGTGGATTGCGTCACGTGTAAGATTCAGTATTTCTAAGTGTGTACACATTTTTGAAGAGACGGCGAGTTTTTCAACTATTGAGAGACCTGCGATCTGTTCTGAATACAGTATAGGATACGTCACATAATTGAGTCGACAAAAATATCGTCCAGCCAAGTATCAGTTAGCACGATAACATCATATTCCGAGTCGGTTGTAGCTAGGAAGAACATGTCGATCTTATTCTGAAGTCCTCGTACATTCTAGTAGTAACGACGCAAGGGTTGCCATAAACTAAATCTTGTTTGTCCAGTAGATGATGTGCTGAAATCCATACGTTTATCACGAGGAGAATCACCGAGAAAGAATGCGTACTTGCATGAAGAACCAGATCGGGATCCCATATCTGATCACAGCGCCAGAACGACTTTCAGGGCAGGAAACCGCAGATGATCGACAAGAAACTGTGTCAGAGAGAACGAGGGCTCCCATGGTACCTTGTTACGTGCGTTCTGGTCGTGGTACTCGAGCAAGCTTCCATAAGTCAATTTTTTTTCCATTATTACTTGAAAGGCCTGAACTCAAAACGTAAACTTGAAAATATACATACTTGCCTGAATAAGGAGGTTGGGAGCCTCCTTCACCGATCTCAACCACAGGGCCAGAACGAGTATGGTGGCAGGAATCAGCAGACGCGACTGGGTTGAGTGGCTCAAAAGCTCCCATGATGCAAAAAACAGTTCGTTCTGGTATTGTAGATTTAGCTAAGTTGACAATAGACGACGTCCCTTTTCAAGCTGACAATATTTATCATTACCGGTTCAGTGTTCACTCGGATGTCGACAGAAGCAGACCACTCTCAATGTGTATCACGCGATCGTCTGTTTACTCGGCAGTAACCATTGTGTGGTCCTCCTCATTGTTCTTCATCAGCAGTTCTTTCAGTCGATGCGTCGTCGACTTTTCAAACCAAACGTTTCGTGATGAATGTGTGAGTGCTGACCACGTTTTGCGTCCATTGCTACAATGGAAACGCTCTGACCCTCGTTGGCGAATCAGCCATACAAGTAAACCACTGAAGCGGCTCCCGTTCTGGTAGAGGAGGCTTATTGATAACGGAAGTTAAAATGTTTATTGTGTTGTACCTTTTGACTATAGTTTTAAGATGTATTGTATAGTGAACAAGAATCCTCGGCTCTGTAAAGTTAATTTGGTTGAGCCTTATCAAATAAATTAATAATAATTAAATGATAGCGGTTGATGAATGTGATGAATGGGGTCAGAAGCAAGAAGTACAATGCTGGAACTCGAAAATTTATCAGGCGGCGAGATGTTATTCAAGCACACATACTTGCCTGTAGAATGATGTTGGAAGCCCCCATTGCCATCTCCGATCATAGGACCAGAACAACAATAATGACAGGAACCAGGAAGCGGGACTAGGTCGGGAGGATTGAGGGCTTCAAGAAAGCGACAGGCGGGCGGGGGTAGCGGGGTTTACATTGTCAGGCCAAGAGTCAGCATCTAACACAGCTTCTCGATGAATGTTATTAATACCGATATTGAATGTTACGAATCGAAAACTCTAGAGATCCGCATTATTCCGCACCAATTTCACAACCTTGAATAATTTATCTTCGCCCAGTTATTTTTTTTTTAGATCTTTATTACATTCATTTTTAGACATTATGTACAGTAATTTATACTTATCATTTAAATGGTGTTCAGGAAGATACCAACCACTGTAATTTCTATTAAATTTGTTGCCAGAAACTGAACGCTCACCATGTCAGTTTATGACAACAAATTGTATCGGTGCGGTGGAGGAGAGCTTCAGCTTGCTTGGATAACTGCATGCTTAACTAGTTTATCGTTCGACTCCGATTTAAAGAATGATGATGTTCACAGTTCAACTACAGGCTTTTATACATTTACTTCTCACAGGTATAAAAAACGTAATATTGTACCTCAATCAAATAATTAGGTATAAGTATAAGAATCCATGCAGTGAAGCTACCGGTATATTCCTACAGTTAAGCCGGGTAGCGTTCAAAATCCAGCGGTTGCTTGCAGATTTCGTTTCCGCCCTTGTGTGTGACAGACCCACCACCCAGTGGCGTTTCCTTGACCTCAATCTACCTGTGTACCAACTCTCAAAACATAAACAATTAAATCTGGTTTTAAAAGTTGGTGCACAGGTAAAAAGTGAGGTTACGGGACGCTACTGCTAGCACTACTCACTTTCTAGAATTTCTGCAAATACTCATTTCGCTATCGATATTGTAATCCGGGATAACCGGAATGGAAATTGATCAAAATGCCTTGCGTTTTCAACTGTTCCATAGATATCAAGAGAAATCTTGATAGCATTTCATCTAAGAACTCTAATAATTGTATACTTAATTGCATAAATTTTAATTTTATATCACTGGTAATACCAGTAGGCAATATCATCATTCCAACAATAGATTTAAGGGGTGCAACGACTGTTGTTATTAGCTTTAAAGTGGTTTTTGACGAAACTAAGTGTCACTAAACCCCGTAACGTGGGTAGATCATCTTTTCGTGGTACGTTACGGGATGTAAGATCTACCACCGATTCCTAGTCCTGACTACTTCAAACTAGGGGAACAGGATTTTTCAGTATTCCAAGGAACACATCTTAGTCCTTGTTACTTTTTATGCCTTGTTGATGTAACAAGACTTGATGTTGTCCACCGTGGATGATCTTGAAGCAAAGGAAAAAATGGGTTGGTTAGTCTTCATCTATGTGATTCCTAATCTTCTATTCGTTGCTCCCTAGATTGAAGTGGTTAATACTAGGGTTTAGGTGCATGGTCATTTTCGGTGTTATACCTTAATTTTGTTGCAAAGGAATCCAATTTTGACTGACAAAGGGGGGCGCCTTTGAAGGGTGTTTCAACACTCCGAAGGTTATAGATAGCGGGACCTTTTAATTAGAGTTGGATCCTTGCGATAAATGCAAGAGTGGCAACTGTAAAAAAAAAATCGAATACTTCATCATTTCTCAATAGTGATGGAGTGACATGCACTAAACTAAGGACACGGTGAAAAAAAATTCCAATAATTTAAATTATTACGAAACTGAAAATGATTCCAATATCAAGAAATATAAGGATTTTCGTCAAATTACCGAAGAATTTAAAAGAAATTGACTACATTTAGGCGAAACTGTGCATTTTGATAAATCTATGATCGCATTTTTGCTAAAAAATACTCTTCACAAAACAATTCTAACATCTGATTTGAATTCAGGGAACCCAAATTTATAAAGTATATTTGCCATGATTGCACTGCACTCTTAGTTTTTATTTCTAACGAACGGTTTTTTAGATTTGTTGATTTATTCCACGATACGCAAGCAAGATGGAAACCCTAACCAAACTAGTCAGCAAGGGAGTCATTTGTAAATTTTCCTGTTGTTTAGTAAAGCGGAACCACCGGAGAGCCATTGTCAATCTGGTACACAGGTCACCAGCAGCAGGTCTGATGGATTTTAGATGATACGAACAGACCTGAACTGTGCACGTCGTCACATATGTGTGTGTGTGTGTTTATGTGTGTTCCAAATTCAGTTAAAACTCAACTCAGGCAATTGAATTTAATTTCATAGCAGAGAGAGGCAGCGGCGATGCAGTGCAGGATAAACTTTGACACAGATGAAATTAAAAAGTACCTACCCTTACGGGCCAGGTACGAAAATACGGTCAAGGGAAGAAAAAAACAGGTGAATAACAAACTTTTCAATCAGCAATTCAATTTTTACTCCCATTCACTGTCACTGACAGAGATGGGCTACGATGTACGATAAAGCAAATTCAGAAAATCAACTGTAAACTGCTGCTACCCGGCTAAGCTTGGTTTGGCTTATCTTCAACTCGTCCCAATTTGTAAAATCTAGACACATAATTGATGGCTTTGCTCAACTCAATAGGAAAATCTGCTATTCGATTTCCTCTCCCAGTCAATGGTTGGAGGATGATGAACCATGCAAGCGAGAGGACACAGCTTTCATACATTATTCACTTATGCGCCAAAAAGACACACAGCAAATTGCCAATTATCCCTACATTATTACAACGATGAAATCGTTAAGTTCGCGTGGCAAAGGGCGGACGGGCTGCCGACGCTGCGCCGAGGGGGTGTGATTCATTTATCTCCCATCTCGTGCCTGTCAGGAAATTTGATAGAGCTTTTTTCGATACACGAGCTTTTCTCCTATGCCAACGGAACCGAAATCTTCATTAGTGCTGATTATATGGCTTGGTAGCGAAACTGTTAATGATGACGTTTTTCGCTTTTTCTATGGTTTAATTTTCGCAGACTCACCATCAAAGCGGGATGCCCCATGAACCTCGAGGACTTTCCGATGGATATCCAGAGATGCCCACTCAAATTTGGGTCATGTAAGTATTTTCGTTGGTAGCATATATCTGATGTCATGTAGAGCAAAACATATTATGACAAACCGTATGACAAATTGATAAACTTTCCTGGCCACACAAATAATGCACTCAAAAATATTCACTCACTCGAAAGTAGTCTCCATTTTCCAGTCGAGAAAGATGATCTGAAATGAAATACTGATTACACGCTTTGATAAACCGATAGATACAGACAAAAACGATCATGTTTCCCGCCACATCAGCTTGCTGAATTTCCAGCAAAATAAGAGCAAGAAAGTAGAAGAGATAAAACTTCCACGCTGTCGAGAGACAGACGGAAGCCAATATATTTTATTGCGGATGTGCAACATCATTCGTCGCACGCTCACCTTGTTGCTGCTGCTTCATCTGTTTGCCACGAGAGTATGGAAACATGAAAAGAGCATCTAAAACTTTTGTAACCGATTTTTTGCCCTTACTTTTGTCGTCGTCTGTTTGCTGTTGCGGGAGCCACCAAAATGGGATGGTTTCAGGTTAAGAGCAATACTCATAACTCTTCCCACGGGGATTTCGAGGAACACCCGACCTTCGTTCCGCCTGTCTGTTGTGTCTACAACGTGGATCGGGTCGTCGTGTCGGAAAGGGAAATAAAAGTGCAGCCAGCCACCAACCAGTCCCATAGCTGCCCTAACACGGATGAACCTAATACCGAAGGATACACTGCCAGCAAGTGTGACAAAGTGAGGTCAAGTTAAGTTTTGCGGTGGGTGAATGGTTCCATCGCTCCATGGAAGGAAAACTGGCTGCTGAAAACAATGGATTTTCCGTAGAAAACACTTGGATTTTTATTGTCGATCTTGTTGTAGGAACTTCATCAGGCTTTCTGAGTTTTGTCCGATGAGAATTAATAACAACAATTTTTTTTTACTTGTTTTTTATTTTATAACCATTCTCTAATACAATGTTAAGCTAAGCGAAGCGAGAGCGGAAAGATACCAACCACTGTAATTTCTATTAAATTTGCTGCCAGAAACTGAACGCTCACCACGTCAGTTTATGACAACAAATTGTATCGGTGCGGTGGAGGAGAACTTCAGCTTGCTTGGATAACTGCATGCTTAACCAGTTTATCGCTCGACTCCGATTCAAAGAATGATGATGTACACAGTTCAACTACAGGCTTTTATACTATTAACATTTACTTCTCACAGGTATAAACAACGTAATATTGTACCTCAATCAAATAATTAGGTACAACTGAATCCATGCAGTGACGTTACAGGTTTATTCCTACAGTAAGAACGGGTAGCGTTTAAAATGATCCACTGAAAATAATGAGCGGTTGGGATCATGGTTGAAAATATTCAGCCTTGCCTTGACCTGATATAAACAATATAAACAATCAAATGTTGGGCCTCAAAAGTTTTAAATGTGATAGAATGCAGGCAGAAAAATATCAATGCCTGAGCAGCGCACAATGAGTTGCAGAAACTAAAGCTTCTGACGAGAAAAGTTTCCAGAACTTCCGAAGGATAGTAGTAAATTATCCTTTAAATATTACACTAAACACTATTAATACACTATTAAGTGTATATCAAATGCCTATAAGAAAATCCAAGCTTATGGAATCAACTCAGAGGAGCTCCAGAAGTGACTAGATACATTCCTAATGTTCTAGATCTGGAAATGCTATATAGACTACTAGCATCTCGGTGTTTATTTTAACTGACTATGATCAGTAATTTTAACTGAAATATCAGTTCGGAACCAACTCAAATCCGACAAATTGGTATTGTTTTTGACGTAGGACTACGTCTTTAATTTCTATACTGGGGGTCACCTTAAAAAAAATCTAAATTCAGGCATGGAACGAAAAATCCCAAACACGGACGCAACGATAGAGCGCAAATCGAACAAACGACACTTTGCCCATGCTCACATAAGCGAGCTCAATGCTCTCACCAGTGATGCCACATTTTTTCGATTTTCAATCTGTATTTTCATCGTAAAAAATCTTTTTAATCTGTATCTGACTGACAAAAATCTGTAAACAAATCTGTAAAATTTCTTTATTATGGTCTTAGTGCAGCTTTACGTAAATCTCCATTGAGTTAATTCATAGTTCAGAAGAACTTTATTCTAAGTTTAGAATCTTGAAAAATTACTAATGGGTGCTTTCTAAGGAATTTTATTTGAAAAATCCCCAAATCCTACACAATTTTTGTTAAGTGATGCGTATCTTTTTTATAGATTGAAAATATAAAACATTAAGTTCCAGTTGTGAGAGGCGAATCTGTTTCCGGCTGAAGATTTTCTTAGTGAAGTAACTATCAAAATTTCTAGAATTTTATTTTTTGTATGTCTGTAATTACAAAAACCTTTATCTGGACATTTGTTTTTTTTTTTTCAACTCCGTTATTTTTCAATAAGTTTTAACACAAAACTTGTACTGAAAGTTTTATCGAATTTTATGCAATATTCCAAGGGTGTTCAACTCTCGCACCTTAATTCGTGCCGAGTTATTAGTTGCGTCAAAAGCTGTGCCAAGCGCTCTGCCGAACGTACCTATCAAGGACAATTAAAGTATGCTTATCAAGGTGTTTGGCAACCCTGAAACTTATGACTTTTGTAATTTTGTTTACATTCTCAATTTCTCTGATGGATCATGGTAGACATTCACCTCCATTCTCATTAGATCGTTAGCGGGTCGGGAGGTGGAAGAGGAACTGCAAACCATCAAACCAAGCATAGTTCAGTCCCACGCTTGGAGCAACATCGTCGAACCAGTTTTAAATCATCTGATCGACTCAGAAGTACGTGTCCTCAAAGATATAACCCAAGTCTACCGTATTGCTGATTATGATGCCTTTCCCTGAAGAACTGTCATACGTTGACGCAGACTTCAGCGGAAGCGCTTTATCAGGCGCCTTAGATCTGTATAGAACTCGAGAAGATTCCGCCCAATCCAGTCAGCTCCACACAGATGACAAACGTGGGTGATTCGTGATTCAAGAGCATATAGCATTACAGATACACCTTTCATTATTCTATGGACATCGCTTTAAAGTCCTGTGGTTGTCCTATCACAGACTACAGCAATTAAGACTAATGACTGACAAGAATATCCGAGGAAAAACGCAGGAGAAAATGTGAATATTTCCGTCCCGAAGATGCTCGGCAAGACTGGGAGCCAAATGTGGCCGCCCCTAGGATAAGCTTGTTTTCTTCTTTATTGTTCATTATGTATAACAAAATTGTTGATGTACCTCAACTCTCGCAGAAGATATTGCTCTGATCCTTCGTTGCACGCTTCGAGATTGGATACACACGACAGTATCAAATGTTATGTTCAAAAATAAGAAGGGTGTTCTGGAATAAATCATCCAATGGGACAGCATGTGGACTAGAATGTGAGCAGCATTGGAAAATTTTTCACGATATTTCACGAAGTTCATCAAGGAAAAAGTTCGTGAGTCCTAGTGCGTTTTGGTGAACTTTTCCAATAGTGAATATGAAGATTCATCAAACTATAGATGCCCGATGCTCATCGTTCCACAATTAAATCCAATCTTCGCAGGATGCAAGGTATTATTTTCATACGAATAACAGCATAGTGTAGGTGTTCTGCCATTCCTGTTGTATAGTTGGGATCCATTTGCTTGATATTGATAAAATTGTTGGTGTGGCCGTTCGAATTTATCATCAAAGGCAACCATCGGGCATTTTTCACAATGATTTCATCCTCAATCGAAAACGAATCGTTTCTAGAGGAAACCCGTTTCAACCGTATTGACTGCCGTATCGACAAGACGTTGTGGACCGGCCATGGTATACATAGATGAACTCGACTGAAGTGAGGCCCCGATAGAAGCTGTTCTAGATGAAAACACGATCCGCTGTGATTTTTGCTGTGATTCGGAAGAGACGGACTTAGTTTTGCTAGGTTTGAAGAGATTCACGATTCACAGATTTTTTCGAATGATCCCCAACACCAGTGGGTATCCGTTTGTCGTTTACAATTTCTTGATTGAATTCTTGTAATTCTTGACCCGAGTAGTAAACCTTAGAAACGATTGGCAAAATGTCAACTATGAACAGTGGTGCCGTTTAATATTATATTGTTTGTGTCTTCTTTGTCAAAGTGTGCCTTAATGCGCCGAACAATGTGTCATGCTGTGTTTCGGCACAGTTGGCAGGTTTGATTGCCCCTTGCAATATTCTTTATTTCTGAAATTTTGTTAATCAAATATCAATATACCCAGTTGACTCTTCGACAAATAGAAAAGGAAACTACTATTTCTTCCAACGAGAAATCAGAGCATCTGAACATCAGAAGTCCATTCAAAAGATTCCAAGTCCATTTGAAGCTAAAACAATGATAATTTATTGAATGAAAAAGACGATTTGGGTTTGATTCTCAGATTGAAGTCAAGCTGTTCAAAAGAAAGAAAAGATTATAGTTTGGAATTAAAAATATAAAAATTAGTTTAACATATTTTTCTCTTATTTGAAAAATCTGAAAAATCTGTATATTTTTGAAAAATCTGTATTCTGTATATACAGATATCTGTATCAAAATATTGACAAAAATCTGTATTATTATAGATAAATCTTCACTGGCTCTCACCATTTCACCAATGAAAGAAAGGGAGGAGAAAAGTAGCGATAGTAAAAACGCTTGCCAAATCGTTTTCTTCGCCATTCGCTTTCGATCCACGGACGGATAAGCGTCGGACACGACGTATGAGTGGAATAGCACGCATCGGCCCAAATACGAATACGACGCAGTGTTGCCACATTATTTCCAATTTCAATCTGTATTTTCACCGTAAGAATCTTTTCAATCTGTTTCTGGCTGACAAAAATCTCTTTCAATTCTATAGTATGATCATATTGCGGATCGTCGTAAATATACTTTGAGTTTATTTGAAGTTCAGAAATAGTTTGTTCCGAGGTTTGTTCATATTTTAGAAGCTTGCTTTCTAAAGAATTAATCGACCCCGAAATCCTGAATCTTGATT